AGCGAGGGCTTACAAATTTCATATGGATAACTAGATGCTTTTGTTTTTCTGTAATAAGTTATTTTTTGCAAAATGTAGGTGCCAATTTAGTTGAAATGTTTTGGTAGGTGGTACAAGTATTTAATTTGCAAGTGCTAAGTTAATCCCAATTAAATTTGCGACTTGTTTTTTTAATCAGTTATCTTAGGCAATAGGGGCCAAATGAGATGAAATGTGTCTTGGTAGGTGGTACCTTGATTTGGTAGATAACTTATTACAGATCTTAGGATTATACCTTTGGTAGGGGCCAAATAGTTTTTTTGGCGATAGGTGCCCCTGAAATTGCTTCTCGCGGAAGAATCTCTTCATCTAGAGATATTCTAGAAGGTGTTAGTAAGCTAATTGAGAACTTGTTGTCTGTGAGTCTTGTTGGATGATTTGGCATTGGCCTGCTAGTTGTTGGTTCTATTATAGAAGGTGTTAGTAAGTTAATTGAGAGCTTGTTGTTTACTTTTTGGGATCGGGTTCCACTATGAAAATATAACTGAAGAAGAACCAAAAATATCACATGCTACTATTTTTCTTTCCTGTGAAGTGGATCGTTAATCCTTTGCTCATATCGCTTTAGGAAAATGGCGCCAGCACCACCACCACCATGTCGACTGTGCAAGTCAAGGTGCACCAACATCCTTGCATCTGGCAAGCTGATCGGCATCTACTTCCAGCCGAGTTTCCGTCATGCGGCGGTAATATATTAGATGAAATGTAACAACTATTTTATTTTTAGTGTTGGCATTACTGCATTGTGTCATTTTGCTTTTTTTACACCGATCGTCCCATGCAATGTGAGGTTAAAATTCAAGAGATAATTCCTTATCTAACACTAGCTTAAAACTTTTTTCCCTATTTGACACTGGAAATATTTTTCTTCCTTATCTAACACCAATTCTAAAATTTGTTCCCTTTGTAACACTTCCGTCCATTTTGACTACACACGGTGTTAAATGGCACCTGAAAAGACGATTTTACCCCTCATACAACTTGTGACAAAATTATTCACATTACCACAGAAACAACAACTTTTGTCCTTAACTGAAGCATAATAGACTAATTCAAAGAGAGTTTTGATCTAGATTTTCATAGGGAAGTAAGAAGCATCTTTATAGAGAAATAATAAGCATTTTCACAGAACTATTTTTTTTGCGGGGGGCATTTACACAGAACTCATAACCATTTTCACAGATACATAAATGCATGAATAGCCTGCAATGTGAACAATAGTGCATGCGCATTAGAGTTAAACCAGATCAATAGCAGAGTAACTGAATTTTTTCAGATCCATAGCATTTTCAGAGAAACAAAGCATCACATAACAGACTAAGCCCTTTCCTGAGAGGAGGAAGAGGAGGACTCTGACTTGTCTTCGTAAGGGCTAGCACTGGTCAGTGAAGGTCCCGGCTTACGGAGCTGTCTGTGGCCGCGACAATGGGGAAGGCATGCAGTGGATGGAGTCAGGGGATCAGGAATATGTCCACCGGCGTCCGCAGGGACCCGAGCCCGCTGCAGCCGAGACACCGCCACCTGCCAAAGTCGCGCGCTGGCCCGGCCCCTCCGCAGCCCCACCGTCGCCATCGCTCACCAACGCCCGATCCGGAGCAGCGCCGAGGTCAGGCCCTCCGCAGCACCGCCGCCATCCATTACCCGGAGTCGCCATCGCAGTCACCGGCACCGATAGGACTAGGAAGTTTGCCGCCGCCGCCGATAGGGTTGGGAGAAAGGGACGAGAGGTGCGGGTCGGGAGAGAAGAGAGATGGACGGTTCGGTCTATCTTGTTTTTTTTCCTTTTTCTCATGCTTATTATTACGTGTAGGGGGCATTTTCGTCCAGCTACAGAAAACTGACATCACTCCATGCATCTTTTAACGGTGTAGGCTAACAGAACTAACGGAAGTGTTAGAAAGGGAACAAAATTTACACTTGGGTGTTAGATAAGGAAGAAAAAAAATTCAGTGTTAAATAAGGAAACAATATTTAAAAGAGTGTTATATAAGGAAATTTCTCAAAATTCAATAAGCTGACAGGAGACACTGTGACATTTGAGGCTCCTGGGCGGGGGGCGTACACTATGGAGGTCGAGAAAGGATGCAATATGTCGCAGATTGGAGGAGATGGATGGGCCCGTTTCCTCGCCCGCATGCGTCTTACTGGTGGTGAGTTGATCAACTTCTCCTTCAGAGCAGAAAGACCCAAGCTGGTTGTCATTTATCTCAACCTGGTGGAAGATGATGAAGATGACGAAGATAATGAAGACGACGAAGATGATGAAGATAATGAGGATCCACTCGATGAAGATGATGAGAACACACTTCGTGAAGCCATCATAGCTCAAAGAATGAGGCTGGGCGAGGAGGAGGTGTGCAACCTATAGGACATAATTCCGCCACGTGATGACTTTGTCGGGGTGCCATTCTTGACCCGCCAGACAAGTACCATGGTCGATCGGCATGAAATGGTATGTTATACTGACTGTAGTAATTTGATGATATATATATGTGTTACTATTCATCACCCAGGGTGCAGAATAAGTTATTCTTCACCCGAGGTAATCTTACGATCATTTCATAATTAAATTACGTTTGAAATTCAAATAGTTACATTTCTATTCACTACGTAAAATTTGACATAAGAAAATAAAAATATAGGTCATAAGACAAGAAAATTTGCAGTTTATGTGTATTTTAGACTATGTTTTGACGTTTGTAATTTTACATAACATAAAATATTTTTTACGGCGATTATGTATTTTCTTACGGTCTCTTTTTGCGTCGAAAATAAGACAAAACTTACGGAACGTAAAATTACGGAGCATTGATGGTAAAATAAAGGGGGGTGAAGAATAACTATTCCTCACCCAGGGTGACGAATATATGCTTTATTGTTATACTTAATTGATAGTGTAGTACTGTGTCTTTTGATAGTGTAGAACTGTGTCTTTTGATAGTGTAGAAATCTATACTTAATAGAAATATATTTGCAAGAGTATGTGCGAGGCTATTTATTAATTGATATGTTTTTCTTATTCAGAAATTGCCAAAGAACCTATCTGTGAGTTGTGGTATCGAGCCTGATGAAGAAGGCTCAGCTGGACTACGCCTTACCGCAAGGGGCTCCGTCACCACCTGTACTTACCGCATGGACACAGACGGTCGCACACACTTAAACTCGGTTGGGTGGAAGAGATTCCTCGTTGGCAAGAATCTTCGTGTTGGACAGGCCATCCTAATTACTATCAGGAACACCCACCGCCCAGGCTTGAGGATGATGATCGTCGTCGATATCATCTAGCTAGAACTACATATGTGTGTGTGGCTATATCATCTAGAACTACATATGATGATCGTTGTCGATATCATCTAGAACTATATATGATGATCGTCGTCGATATCATCTAGAACTATATATGATGATCGTCATCGATATCACGTTTGTACTGCTTGAGGATGCATATGATGATCGTTATCGAGTAATTTGGAACGGAGGTAGTACTACCTAGTACCTATAATGCTTTATGAAATTGATATCTAGTAGTACCTAGTATCTGGAAATTGCAGTTTATTGAAACTGAAACTGGGTAGGAAGCGGGGGAAAATGATGAAACACATAGCAGTAGCGCGGGGCTAGGAAAGCGCTACAACTAAGTAATAGTAGCGTGTTCTGGAAAAGCGATGCTGATATAGTCAATAGTAGTAGCGCGGGTGCAAACCGCACTACTACTAACAGTTAGCTGTAGCGCCTTATTGGTAGCGCGGCTGCCCGCGCTGCTGATAGCCTCAAAACCCGCGCTACTACTAGGGTTTTCCCTAGTAGCGGGGCAGAGTGGAAAATGTTTGTTTTGTTAACTTTTAAGGTTTAAGGG